TTTTAAGTTCTGATAGATATCCAACCTTCCTAATTATTTCAACTTTAAAAGGTATTTTATTTTTCTTTGTATGGTTAAGGCATCACTTTTGAGGAAGCATTATTAAGATATTGTCATGTTTTCAATCTGCTGCTTGCATTTATGTTTCATGCCCTGTTGGTAAAACTTGTTATGTTGCACTGGATCAAGCCTAATTGCCTCTGCATCTTCTTCTAGTATGTTCTTTTTCCCTCCCCAAAACTTTCTCTACTCATACTTTTGAATGCTATTCATCAAACCTATCCTTCTCAGTCTAGTGGTATATCCTACCTCATGAAATCTTTCTCAGGATGTTCACTGTAATGAAGCTCTTTGATTCTGTAGTACTTTGTTTCACATCACTTAGATTCTATATGTTAGCTTATGTTAAATTTTAAAAAGGATCTAGTGTGGTATAATGGAGCCTCCTGAGGAACATGTAAGATATAACAGAGTGAGATTTTGATTTGAGCCCTAGCTCAGTCATTTTCTAACTCTTTGGCATGAGGCAAATTATTTAAGCTCTGTGGGTTTCAATCTTCTTATGTCAAATTGGACTGTTGTTCACCTTTTAGTTATTAAAAATTATAGCTAATATGTTTTAGTACAAAGGAAGAAATAGAACAGGTGTTCATTAAATGTCTATAGTAATTTTTGTTCCTGTTGTTCTGTATTTCTTACAGCTTCTAATAGAGTACTGAGCATGTGGTAAGGACTCTTTGAGTACAGTTCAGGGCTAGGTCATTTAAATAGCTCCTGAAATCCTATCGCTTTTATGAAGGCTTCCTGTTGGCTGTGTTCTATCAGCACTACAAAACTTTCATGGCTTCTCTGGACTGTTCTTTCTGTTCCCATAATCTGTAAGGGGAGCCTTTGGTATGTATTCTGAGGTGGCTTCCAAAGCAGTGATTTGAAGGATTTATTTATTTATTTATTTTTGAGTAATGTTTTGGATTGATCCCTACATTTTTCTGAACATCAGCAGCCAGGATTGTAATAAAGAAAGCATTTTTCACATACTTCAAGTGTAGTATGTGAAACACATAGAATAAAATCTCAGCCAATCTGAGCTTTAGATGAATAAATTATTTTGCCTAGCTTACTTCAGTTTAAATTTATTAGTGCATCTCTTATGTGCCAGGCATTTTATAGCTGTTGGATTTACAAAGATGAGTAAGACATGGTTCCTGACTTTGAGTTTAGTCTAGGGTGAACAAGAAACACAAAAACAGATCATTTCAACCGATGATTAGCTGTAACAAAGAGGTGAGGATGGGATCACACATGGAAGGGTGGTTGAGGGGGAGAGATGAGCCTAAGGTTGTGATGTCTATCAGAGGACAAATGGGTTGATTGACTTGATTCAGGAACAGAGTGGCTCAAAGTGGCTTCAATATTTATGGGAATTTATTGCCTGCAAAGTCTCCAGGTAGATTTGGCTCCAAGTGAGGCCTGATGCTGTGGCTCAAACATTGTCTTCCATGGCCCTCTCTTAATTGTTCCTTTTCTAAATTTTTTTTTTTTAATGTTTTATTTATTTCTAGGAGAGAGAGAGACAGCGTGAGCAGGGGAGGGTCAGAGAGAGAGGGAGTCACAGACTGAAACAGGCTCCAGGCTCTGAGCTGGCAGTCAGCACAGAGCCTGACGCGGGGCCCGAACCCACGAACCGCGAGATCATGACCTAAGCGAAAGTCGGACGCTTAACCGACTAAGCCACCCAGGCGCCCCATTAATTGTTCCTTTTCAAAAGCCAAATGACCTCTGTGATTTGAGATCTTATCTTTCTCACATATGCCCCAGGGGGAAGAGTACACTTTTCTTTAGTTCTAGCTAAACCTAGAGAGTTAATTTCAGCTGTAAATTATACATATTCCTGAACCAATCACTGTGATTAGTGAGATACTAATTGGTTTAGATAAGTCAGGGTCTACTGTCAAGCTTAGAATATAGTCAGTCTCCTTCATATCTCATGTCTAGAGATAAGAGGAGAGAAGAATAGATGACCAAGAAGCTGCCAGCAAATGTTCATTAGACCAGGAGGATAAATGTATGAGATTTTTTGGAAAGGTCATAATATAAGCAAAATCAAGGAAGTGTACACCATTATGATGTAGGTGGGAATCCGTAGGTGGTTAAACATTAATCCAACATGTAGTATGAGACTTAGAAAATACTTGTAAAGTAATGTGATGGAGTATTTGCCACCTGCTGGATTTAGTTTCCATACATTATTTAATTCTCACAATAGCTGACTAAGGTAGGTATGTCATCTTGCAAATTGGGAAACCTGAGCTCAAGCCCACAGCTAATAATTTGTGGAGCTAGATTCAATACCCAGATTATTTGACTCTAGAGGTAGCCCATGTGGACATTGCAGTATAAGTACTTTCTTCTATATTCCTAGAATTTTAGGGAATAAGACTTCATAGAGTACCATGCTAAGGAGCCAAGTTTTCTCTGGGGCTCAAGTTTTTCTCAAGCTCTAGGTCTTTGTTTTACCATGCTAAGGCAGTGGTTGTCAAACTTTAGCATATATCAGATAGTGTCTAGGGCTTGGTAAAATGTAGAATTGCTGGACCTTAACACTAGAGTTCCTGATTTAGTAAATCTAGAGAGGAGCCCTAGAATTTGCATTTCCAAGATGATGCTGATGCTGGTGGTCTTGGAACGCACATTATGAGGACCACTTGAGTCTGACGACTTGTAGTTCAGTGACATTCAGCATACTGAAATGAATTCAAATTTTGTTGGCACTTCTACTTGGAAATATGCATACTCTGACTTCATATTCTTTAATAATACAGATGTCAAGAATACATTTTGGTTACAGTAATATTCTCCATCAAAGGTCAGAATCATTGCATAAAGTTTTCATTGATTGGATTTCTTTTGTCTCTTTGATTCATAAAAGCCATAGGATTTCACAGACATGTATTAGGTACATCTCTCTGATTCTTGACTTATTAAGATTAAATTTATTGTTCTCCTCCCCGGTCCTACTCAATTCACTAATGCTCAGTTCCCTCCCTGATAGTTAGGAAAGTGCACTTATATATAAAAGGTATATATTTAAATGCTGTACTTTGTTTGCCTATACTTTTATTGTGAAAAAATTTGAATACCAGAAAAAGTAACATGAACACCCATATTTTCATCGTCTAGAGTCAACAGTTGTCAATGTCTGTGTATACAACACAGATGTTTTCTAGTGAACCACTTGAAAGTAAGGTACAGATCTTGTGCTACTTCACCCATAAATATTATAGCATACATCTCCCAATAAGAGCATACTCTTTCATAATCACACCACCATAATCACACTTAAGAAAATAAATAATAGTTCAGGCAGAGAAGGACAAATATCATATGTTTGCACGTATAGGAGGATTAGGAGGAACTTGATGGAGGAACGAGGGGGAGAAGAAGGGCGGAAATGGTGGGGGAAAGGGAGAGAGGCAAACCATGAGAGACTCTTGAATGCTGACAAAAACTGAGGACTGATGGATGTGGGGGAAGGGGGGAGGGGCATGGAGGAGGGCACTTTGGGGATGAGCACTGAGTGTTATGTGGAAACTAATTTGACAATAAACTATTTGTAAAAAAAAAAAAAAAAAAAGAAAATAAACAATAGTTCCTAATTTTTTCTAACATGCAGCCATATTCCAATTTCCCCAATTGTTCCAATGTCTTCTATTTTGTCTGTTCTGGTTATTTTTTGGTACCAGGATCCAATGAAATGAAACTATATTTTAAGAGTCAGCAATGCTGATGGATCTTTAGGTTCAGATAAGTTCTGTGTTATTTACAATATAGACATTTGATTGCATTAAAACAAAGATACAAAATTAATAATGGTTTAAATAAGAAATAAGAAAGATGTTTATTTCTGTCATATTTAACCACCTGGAAATAAGTGGTCCAGGGCTGTAGTGGGGAGGGGAGGGGTCTGTTATCTTCAATATGTGTCTTCCTTCTGTGAGGCCAAGATAGCTATTCCAGCCCCACCATCATGCTGGGAAGAGTGGGCGGGGGGAGTATATACTCAGTTCTTTTAGGGGCATTATCTGGATGTTGTACATATTACCTCTGCTCCTGTCTCACTGGTGAGAACACAGTCATATAATTCTATCTGTAATAGGATTGTATCTGAAATAGGAAAAGTAGGCTTGTGTGCTGTGTGGCCATGTGTCTAGTGATAATTCAGGTACCAAAAGAATGGCTATTAGAGGAAACTCCGTCTCTGGCACAAGTTCTTTTTTGCAAATGACTGAGCAATACCAAACTATATTAAATTCATTTAATAACTCCTAATACCTTATGACATTTCTCTTTTTCAGATGTATAGAGCTAGTAATTGCTCTAACTTGGAGCCCATGCTAAGCCCAGACTGTTACTCTTTTTTGAGTTATTTGATATGTATTTTATAGATGTTCTGCCTGTTTCTAGGGCAGAAAACACTTCAATCAGTGATTGATATTTTTCAGTATTAGTATTTTTCATTCGCAGCAGTGGTTAATACTGTGATTTGTGTAATACTAGTGCCTAATACATGTCTGTGTATTTGGTCTGTTGTGTTTGACTGATGTCTAAGTCATTTGAAAGTAGTAGACTGACATACTGTGTAGAAGAGAAGTAGCTTCTGCTGAACAGTTTTTGTTATATTTCTGATTTTGGAAAAAATGTCTTACGAAGAGTCATGATTGTTCTGAGAGGTTATGTATCTTGAGCTAGAGATTTTAGCATCTGGTAAATGAAAATAAGTGTATTTAAAATTATAGACATCTGAATAATTTAAAAATTGGGAAATGTATATAAACTGATACATAGTAATCTGATAACTTCATCAGTTTGTAATTTAAAATTTAAACTGCTAGTATTGACCCCGAAGAAAAACTTAACTATGACATATTTGTGATGGATAGTGATAAATGAAAACCATTATAGAAAGAAAGGTCACCTTATTTCCTCTAATTTTTCTTTAGGTCGAGATTTAATTTGTATCCAGTCTATGGATGGGATGCTGATGGTGTTTGAACAGGAAAGCTATGCTTTTGGGAGATTTCTCCCTGGTTCACTTTTACCTGGCCCTCTTGCTTACAGTTCTCGTACTGATTCCTTCATTACTGTCTCTTCCTGCCGTCAAGTGGAAAGTTACAAGTAAGTTTGGATGTTGAATCTTTGGAATCATGACTTTTGGTGTGTATATTGCTGATTCATCATTTTCGTTTTTTACAAAAAGCCTGAATTTTAAAAAAGAGACTAGTTTCTTTAATAAAACTGTAATTGTGATGACTTAGAGGATATTATTTACATGTTGTAAAATATTTGAAAGGCAGTATAGTGCAGAGATTGAAGGGATTTGGAGAGAAGCCAGCCTGGACTGGAATCCTGATTTTGCTACGTGCAGCTATTTGATGGTCAGTGTCCTTATCCTAGCTGTAAAGGAGGTAATAATGGCTATTTCTTCTGGCTTTTAAAGTTTTTCTTTTTAATTCTAGGTTGTTAATATACAATGTTATATCAGTTTCAGGTATACAGTATAGTGATTCAACAATTCATGCATCACCCAGTGCTCATCACAAGTGTATGCCATAATCCCCATCACCTATTTAACCTGTCCCCTCACCACACTCCCCTCTGGTAACCATCAATTTGTTCTCTGTAATTAAGAGTCTGTTTCTTGATTTGTCTCTCTCTTTTTTCCCCTCTGCTCATTTGTTTCTTAAATTCTACATATGAGTAAAGTCATATGGTATTTTGTCTTTCTCTGCCTGACTTATTTCACTTAGCATTATACTCTTTAGCTCCATCCATGTCATTGCAAATGGCAAGGCTCCATTCTTTTTAATGGCTTAATAATATTCCATTGTACATCTGTATATATATACATACACACACCATACATACATACATACATATATACATACTGTATCTTTTTTATCCATTCATCAGAAGATGAACACCTGGGCTGCTTTTGTATCTTGGCTATTGTAAATGATGCTGCTATAAACATAGGATCCCTTTGCATTAGTATCTTTGTATACTTTAGTAATATGATTGTTGAATCATAGCATAGTTCTATTTTAACCTTTATAATTTTTTTAAAACTTTTTAAGAAACCTCCATACTGTTTTCCAGAGTGCCTGCACCAGTTTGCATTCCCACCAACAGTGCAAGAGGGTATCTTTTGCTCCACATTCTTGCCAACACCTGTTGTTTCTTATGTTGTTGATTTTAGCCATTTTGATAGATGTGAGGTGATATTTCATTGTGGTTTTGATTTGCATTTCCCTGATGTTAAGTGATGATGAATATCTTTAAATGTGTCTGTTGGCCCATCTATATGTCTTCTGTGGAGAAATGTCTGTTCACATCTTCTGTTCATTTTGTAATTGGATTATTCGTTTTTTGAAGTTTGAGTTTTATAAGTTCTTTATATATTTTGGATACTAAGCCTATTGGATATGTCATTTGCAAATATCTTCATCCATTCTGTAGGTTGCCTTTTAGTTTTGTTGATCGTTTCCTTTGTTGTGCAGAAACTTTTTAGTTTGATGTAGTCTGAATAATTTATTTTTGCTATTGTTTCCTTTGCCTCAGGAGACATATCTAGAAGGAAGTTGCTACAGCTGATGTCAAAAAGGTTACTGCATTTGTTCTCTTCTAGAATTTTTATGGTCTCAGTCCTCATATTTAGTTCTTTAATCCATTTTGAATTTATTTTTGTATATGATGTAAGAAAGTGACCCAATTTCTTTTGCACTAGTTTTCCCAACACTATTTATTGAAGAGACTTTTCCCCATTGAACATTATTTTCTTTGTCAAAGATTAATTGCCCATGAGTTGTGGGAATAATGGCTATTTTGACAAACTTGTTAAAAGCTTGAATGTATGTCAAGTTGCCACCTCATAGAAAATGCTGATTAATTATTGTGACTGTTCCCTGAATTAAAAATAATAAAGTACAGTATGAGTGAAAAAAGCCAGATACAAAGATGCATATATGGGATGATTTTTATAAAAAAATATGTGACACAGGGAGAATACTGGCATGAAATACAAGTGTTATTATGAATATTTTTAAAAGAACAAATCATAGTAGAAATTAAGTACAAAAATGACTCAATGAAAGCCATTGGTACTTTTTGCTAGAAATTCTTATTGATTTTGGGGAATTGTGTTTGAGAGAGACCTCCCAGCTAAATTTCAGTAAAATTTAAGATTTTCAGTTTTTGGAGGGTTTGTTTTTTGTTGGAAGGGAGAATAGGGAAAAGAAAGTATAAATTCATGCTGGGAAAAGAAATAGACTTGGAGGATTATGGTATCTCCAGTAACTTTATTGTTGTTATCTTACTGATGGCAACGTTTAGAACTTAACATCTAAGCAACACTTCATTATAGGTTTTCATTTTATTATTTTTGGTTGCATGATTTTTCCCAAGGAAGGAAGAAAATATAAATTCACCAGGCAACAGCTATAAATTTTTGTCTTCATGTTTCAATATTGTGCAAATAGCAAGTTAATGCAGTATCCCCTTCATAAGTGGCAATCTACTTTTTGTGAATTATTGTCAAGGTTTCTTAGATTCAAAACTCTGAACATAAGCAAATGTTTGTGACTAAACAGAAGTTAATGGAGGTAGTGTGTCATTATACTATATTCCTTCTTTAACTCCTATGGCTCTTATCCAAAGGGGACGAATGAATTGTGGCATTGCTACTGGTAAGAAATAAAATATACTTATTTTGAGAGGTTGAGAAAAATATCTGTGTAATTCATTCAGGCCTGCCAGAGCTTAAGCAATATTGAGGAGATCTGCTTTTCAGCTTTCCACCCAGTTCTGTACCTCAACTCCTGCCAAGTAGGGATACTGGCAGTGCTAGGCTGGGGTCACAATAGAAAGATTTGAATGCTCCATGACTTAGTCTTTGAAATATGTGCCTAGGAATTAATTTGGTAATAACTCCAGGAGTGACTGGATGAGGAAGCAATGTGTAGGTTTCCTTAAAGTGTAAGTTTAATCTCAAAGAAGCTCGCTCTCTTTGAACTGTGGTAATTTACCAACATACCAGTCTATTAAATCCATCCCCATTTAGGCTGAAAAATGCACATCTTAGCCATTATGTGGATCTTTTGTAATGGTAAAAATGCATGGGATATGTGATTATTGTGAAATGATGACAATTAAGAGGGTTTATAATGTTAAATAGTATATTACATTTATATGTACTTTCAAGTTTAATAGATTAAATTAAATGATAATCACTGGTGCAATTTAGGATTGGAGGAAGCATGAAAACTGTAGGTTTGTTCTTTAGAGGCTTCTTCTATTTATAATCAGTTAATAGCCAATGTAATCAGTTAATATAAAAGGCTTATAAGACATAATTTGTTTTCACTTTTGATAGTGATATTTAATTACTTTAAAACAAGCTCAATTATAGTCAGATAGGAATAATGAAGGCTGTGAATCTCAAATATTAGTCTGCATAAGGATCACGTCGGCAGTCCGTTATAAAATGCACACTTGCAGATTCCCAATTACAAGTACACTAGATTTTGATTTAGTAGTTTTGGGGATAAGACCCAGAAATCATCATTGCAAACACATACTCTAAGTAATTCTAATTCAGATACACACTTTGAGCATTGATTTTCTTTTGAAGTGAGAGAATTGTTTGCCTTTTTAGGGGAGTGGAAGGGGCTTAGGTACAACCATTCTCTTATTGTCTAAAGTTTGGATTATCTTTTATTCTCTTTTTCTTTCCTTTACTCGTCAGAGTTACTTAGTCAGTAAATCCTCATGTTTCTACTTTTTTCCCTTGTATTCAGCCATTTCTTCGCATTTCCATTCGCATTCAGGCCTTTATTTCCTTACTTGGATTTCTGGTTTTCTTCTAATCTAGACTTTGAAGGATCCTTCTCATATTTATCCTTTGAAAACACCTCCTTAAGATTATTTTTTGTTGCCCCTTAAAAAATTGAAAGCTTCATATATTGACATTCAGTGATCTTTATGATCTGGTTGCATTTTACCTTTATTAATGTGAACATTCAGATTTGGAGGTGACTTTTTAAAATTTTTTTTTTTTAATGTTTTATTTATTTCTAGGAGAGAGAGAGACAGCGTGAGCAGGGGAGGGTCAGAGAGAGAGGGAGTCACAGACTGAAACAGGCTCCAGGCTCTGAGCTGGCAGTCAACACAGAGCCTGACGCGGGGCTCGAACCCACAAACTGCGAGATCATGACCTAAGCGAAAGTCGGACGCTTAACCGACTAAGCCACCCAGACGCCCCTGGAGGTGACTTTTAAAGTTAACTATCCTCCTTTTTTTCACCTCCTTGATATTATTGCCTAAAACACTGATTTTTGCCAAATACCATATATCGCCTTCTTGTATTCTGCTGAAATATTCCAGGGTATGTCTTGTGTTATCAGATTCCTGAGCGCAGAACCTGTCTTAAACATCCATTCACTGACTGAATAAGTTAGTTCATTTATTCAATTATTCATTCAGCAAATATGTCTCTTTTTTTTTTTATATTTATGTTTAATGTCTCAGCAGAATTATTAGCAGTGCAAAGAAGACCTTGTTTAAGCTTAAAGATTATACAGTACTCTGTTTAACTTAATTACATCCTTATTTTTATTAGATTTATTTCAATATCAGTATTAATATTCTACCTCCCAGAAGCAAACTGAGAAAAAGTAGCTACATCCTAATATGTCTCTTGTCTTCAAGCAGTATGCAAGCAAGTGTGGCAGGTGGCAAGTCAGCCAACTGTTTGAGTTCACTGTGATAGAGGCTTGAGTGAGCTGTGCATAGGATACTGAGGAGGCCTAAAGGTGGAATCTCTCAATAAGAGTTCAGTGGAGGGAGGTTCCCTGAAGCAGTATACTTGTCATGAGCTTTATTTTCTCTCCTCTTTGTTGCACATCTTCCCCCCACCCCGACATGTACCTAGTACATTGCTAAGTAGATGAGAGGCTTTACATAGGGTTTTAAGATGTATTTGTAGAGTTTAATTGACAATATTTTAGAAAGAATATTGTATTCTTCACTAGCCTTAGGCTCTGGCCAAATTGAAATGTTTGTTTTCCAGATATGTTTAGGGCTTTTATCTCTCTCCTCTTTCGCTCATGCTTTGTTCTATCAGAAGTTTTTCCTTTCTTCTCTGTATATGAAAATGATCTCTGTAAGCCTCCCTGCTCTCCTTCAGTTCTTTCTCGATCTAGCCGGAAGTAACACCTCCTTAATTCACAGAGTAGTTTTTCTGCTTCTTCTACAAGTACTATTCACACTTTAACTGATATTACATATTTGCTTGTTCTCATTGACAGGGCTGATGGCAGGGATTTTGTAACTCCTGTAATGCCTAGCATTGTACCTTGCCAAACGTAGATGTTTAACAGGATCTTGATGGAGGAGTGAAAAATTATAAGGAAAGCTTCTATTTTGTTGCTGGTATCTTTCAATGAAAACGATCCTTCCTGGCATAACTAAGAATGTTTTAGCTCTACTTATAATGAACTTAGTCATGCTTTGTATCTGGAGCTTCCACTTCTAGTAGAGTTCTCTGGGTTAAATATCAAGTTTCCAAAATCTCCTGGTACCTTTGAGGTGTATGTTTCATTTGAGAATAAGTGATTTTGGAGGGTTTACTTTTGTATTCTGTGACATCTCAATCCCTATTTTAGTTACTTGCTGCTGGTTTTTATGATGTGATATGGAAGAACACTAAATTATATGGTTGAGTTTGTCATTGGTGCTTCACAGGGCCTGTTAAGCCTTTGTGGCTCTTGGGTCCAAAAGTGCTACCATTCACCTGGACTTGCTGTATTTGTGATTAGTACCATTCTGTTGAGAAACACATATGACACACTCTTTCGTGAGATCTTATTACACTGGGCCTGATTATTCTTTCAGCAGTCTTAACAAGGGAATTTATTCTTTAGCTTCTATCACTGAACATTCAAGTGGTAAGAAAAAAAAGACCACCAAGTGTTTTCTTTTTCTTTTTTTTTTTTTTACAAATAGTTTATTGTCAAGTTGATTTCCATATAACACCCAGTGCTCATCCACACAAGTTCCCCTCTCCGTGCCCATCCCCCCTCCCCCCCACATCCATCAATCCTCAGTTTTTGTCAGCATTCAAGAGTCTCTCATGGTTTGTCTCTCCCCCTTTCCCCCACTATTTCTCCCCTTCTTCTCCCTACTCATCAGGGAAATACAAATCAAAACGACACTGAGATACCACGTCACACCAGTCAGAGTGGCTAAAATGAGCAAATCAGAGAACACGAGATGCTGGCAAGGATGTGGAGAAACGGGCACCCTCCTTCACTGTTGGTGGGAATGTAAACTGGTAGAGCCCCTCTGGAAAACAGTGTGGAGGTTCCTCAAAAAATTAACAGGGACGCCTGGGTGGCTTAGTTGGTTAAGCGTCCGACTTTCGCTTACGTCATGATCTCACGGTTGGTGGGTTTGAGCCCTGTGTCGGGCTCTGTGCTGACTGCCAGCTCAGAGCCTGGAGCCTGTTTCAGTCTCTGACTCCCTCTCTCTCTGACAGTCCCCTGCTCACGCTGTCTCTCTCTCTGTCTCTCTCCTAGAAATAAATAAAAAAAAAAAATTTGAAAAAAATTAGCAATAGAACTCCACCAAGTGTTTTCTTTATTTCAGAATTTCCCAGTCTGCCTGGAATTGTTTGGTTTTGGAAATAGGTTTCTATGTACATTATTGGTCACAGAAAGAGGATTTAAGGAAGAACTATAAAATAGATGGTATTGTAAGTTTGTCATCCTCTAAATTTACTGTCAATTACGTTTAGTAATAAAATGCTCTTGTGAGTTGTCTTCCAGGAAGAGAAATGGTCTGGATTTGGAAATCAGGAGTCAATTTTGGCTGTGTCTCTGCCTGCTGTTTGATGTTAATGAGCCCACTTTAGGGGCTCACTTATTCCTGGATGAAATAATAATGCTTTGTAGTTCTCTAAGAAGCTTCAAACAGCTCAAAAGCTTTGGATTTTTATAACAATCTCATTAATATCCATATCATCCTTTAGTAGGTTGGTGTGTGCAGGAAATGAACCGCCTATGTAATTAATTGCCTGAAGTTGGATCCATAGCAGGCCCAGGTCTAGGTTGATATTTTAGTCACCAGTGCATACTATTTCTGATACCGTGAACTGGGAAGAGTAAAACAATCCCATACGAAGGTTGGAATTGAGGTCTAATTATTTGGCATGTTGGAGACTTAGGGATTTTGTAGGTCATTCTCAAATGGTATGGAGATATTTCCTGCAGCTGCCCATGGAATTTCTTAGCATGGTTTTACAAGGCTGCGATCTTTACCCTCCTACCTTTTTTTTTGGTCTCGTTTCCCATGACTCATTCCTCCCTGCCATGCATCTCTCCTAAACTCCAGTTGTGGCTTTTCATGTCTCTTTTACTGCATGCCTTTTCATGTGCTATTGGCTTTGCCATAATGCCTTTACCTCTTTACCAGCATAATGAGTTTTCACTCATTCTTTAAAATCTAGCTTTCTCTTCCTGAACCTATATCAAAAACATACATATTTCCTCCATTCCAATTACTTGTGTCTGCCATTGTTCCCATGCTACTATGTATATGCCTTCTATTATTAGCGCAGGGCACTCTGAATTGTTAGCACAATTAGCACAGGGCACACATAGTTGTATATGAGTCTCTACAACTACTTGGGAGGTCTTGATGGATGCAGACCATATACTAGTTTTATTTCTTTGTCAGAGCTTAGATATATTAGATGTATTGGATCACTACTGAATTGATAAAATTCATATATATTAAGCTTTCATATTAATCATAGGACTGATGTTCATGCATACCTTGCAAGGTCTGTCTTAATTCATAGTCATTTTGCATCCAACTGCAAGTAAAGGCTTTTTTTCTTTATGAAAGATTAAGATAGTTTAAGAGTTGGTATATGACATTTGAATACCAGTGTACATTTCAATGCTTATTTAGGTATTCCACATTGCTTTTGTTCATTCAGGTCCCTGAGTTTTGCACTTTCAGATATCTTTCTCTTAGACAGTATGAGATGTCTGACAACTGCAAGTAAAGGCTTTTTTTCTTTATGAAAGATTAAGATAGTTTAAGAGTTGGTATATGACATTTGAATACCAGTGTACATTTCAATGTTTATTTAGGTATTCCACATTGCTTTTGTTCATTCAGTTCCCTGAGTTTTACACTTTCAGATATCTTTCTCTTAGACAGTATGAGATGTTTGAATATATCTACTGACTTTCCTCTTAGCTGTGGAAGAACAATGCAAGACTTTTGATTCATAGGAAAGAAGGGAATTTGTGAGCCTAAACTTTCTGCATTTACAGCAGGATTATTGCTTTAACAGTATACCATTAAATATTGGGAAATAAGGGAATTTAAATTTTATTGGCTAAATTAATCATTTCTAGATTGAATGATATTTATAATTTTTTTTAAAGTTTATTTATTTTTGAGAGAAAGAGAGTGAGTGAGGTAGGGGGCAGAGAGAGAGGGGAGAGAGAGATTCCCGAGGAGGCTCCATGCTATCAGTACAGAGACCAATGTTGGGTTCCAACTTATGAACTGTGAGATCATGATCTGAGCAGAAATCAAGAGTCTGATGCTTTAACCGGCTGAGCCACCCAGGCGCCCTGTATAAATTGTTTTTAAGAATGATTTGAGCCAAATATTACTAATGAAATAAAACCTATAAAATACTTATAGAAAGTCATAATGTTTATAATGCCCCCTATTAAGAACTTACTACATACCACATAAACTACTAGGTGATTGATCTCTATATATGTGTAAATCTGTATTTGTCTGTCAATCTGTTGGGCACCTAATATATGCCAGTTACTGTACTAGGCACTAAGCTATTTTTAAATTCTTTTAGCCATGTTTGAATTAGAGATTTTTATTGCCATTTTATTTTTTTTTTAAGGTTTTTTTTTTATTTATTTCTAGAGAGAGAGAGAGAGCGTGAGCAGGGGAGGGTCAGAGAGAGAGGGAGTCACAGACTGAAACAGGCTCCAGGCTCTGAGCTGGCAGTCAGCACAGAGCCCGACGCGGGGCTCGAACCCACGAACCATGAGATCATGACTTAAGCGAAAGTCGGACGCTTAACCGACTAAGCCACCCAGGCGCCCCTATTTCCATTTTATAGATGGAAGAAGATATGACATGGAGTAATTAATTTGCCAACTAGTAGGTGGCTTAGCTGGGGATTAAACTCTGGTCTGTTGGGTTCCATAGAACATCTATTAACAGTTTCTACTACATCTGGCTGCTTTGCAATATTTATGTTTTTTTTTTTTTTTTTGTGAAGTTTTGGTGTCGGATCTTTCTTAGCTATGTTGTTCGTCATGTAAAATTCCAATGGAAATGCTTTGTCATTGGCAGATCTCTTTACCCAATATTGAATTTTAGGACATGGTTATAATTTCATTATCATGACAGGTTTACATAGTCTCATGTCACAGTGTCATTCAAGAAGAATTCAATCTTAAATTTTACAGTTTTTAAAACCAAGAAAAAAGCAATTAAAAATTTTTTATGTTTATTTTTGAGAGAGAGCGAGTGAGCATGAGTGAGGGAGGGGCAGAGAGAGAGGGAAACACAGAATCTGAAGCAGGTTCCAGACTCTGAGCTGTCAGCACAGAGCCTGATGTGGGGCTCGATCCCACGAGCCATGGGATCATGACCTGAGCTGAAGTCAGATGCCACCCAGGTGCCCCCAAAAAAACAGTTTGTAAAGTTTATAGATTATGTGCTTTTAAAGTTTAAAATAATTTATGCTTTTTAACTAAAAAAATACTTATAATTATTCATATCTTTCAAACAGGTACCAAGTACTTGCTTTTGCAACGGATGCAGATAAAAGACAGGAGACTGAACAACAAAAACTTGGTTCTGGAAAAAGACTTGTTGTAAGGCCTTTTTTAATATATAAAAATTTTAGTTATATCATATCTAATCACAGATTTTCTTCAAATAAAAATTCTGGGAAGAAAATTTTTAAAAATATTTATTTTTGCTATTTTTCTTTTCTATGTTATGATTCTATCAGTGGGAAAAAATTTACTTGGCTACTATTGAGCAATGGAGACACAGGCCTGGCTGTGTCATATTTATCAGAATTTTTAAAAAGTTTATTTATTCTGAGAGAGAAGGAGAGCGAGAGAGTGAGGGAGGGGCAGAGAGAGAGGTAGAGAGAGAATCCTTAGCAGAGAATCTCTCTGTCAGCTCCGAGTTCAACACAGCGCTCGAACTCATGAACTCTGAGATCATGACATGAGCCTAAATTGAGAATTGGGCTCTTAATTGCTTGAGCCACACAGCTGCTCCATAAGTTATCAGATTATAGAGTTATACCACTAGAATTATAAATGTCCAGATGGGGTCACTTTTAAATGAAATGTTTATCAACTAATATAGCAAAAAGAGAAAAATTTAAAGAAACCTTTAATAGGCAAAAATTTTGCTACTAGTAGGCATGTGATTAAATATATAAGTAAAAAATAAAAATTCATAGCCCGCAAGATAAAATAGGCCTAAAGACAAAGGCAGAAATTTGGTAACTTGAAAAATAGTTTGAGGAAATATTGTAAATGATAAATTCTCTGTTAAATGAAAATAAAGGGATAAATGATAATTGGGAACTCTCTCTGCAGAAACTCCATCAACAGGAAGGAAAAACATAGAAGGAATTGAAAATTATGGTGGAAACAGTAAAGTGAATTTGAGATGGACACATATGAAAGAAACTACATGAAGAAATAATGTGTAATTTATAATACCAAGGAAGTAAAAATATTAGAGAAAATGAGTTTTCTATATTAGGATACAGAAGATAGGAAGGAAGGCTAACTTGAAGAGCCAAGAATGAGATGAAAACATATTTTCTTAATATCAGTAAAAAGTGAAAGAGAGAAAACAACAAATACAAATATGGCATATTTTTTCGCAGAACTTGGAGGCACCATACTAATAATAGTTAAAGGATAGACTTTGGAGTTACATCTTGAGAATTGTACTTACTACTAATTTTGAGCAAGTTTGAGCAAGTTTATTTAAAAAAATTTTTTAATGTTTTATTTATTTCTGAGAGAGAGAGAGAGAGAGAGAGAGAATGAGAGAGAGAGAGAGAGACAGCGTGAGCAGGGGAGGGTCAGAGAGAGAGAGAGATACAGAACCTGAAGCAGGCTCCAGGCTCTCAGCTAACCATCAGCACAGAGCCTGACGCAGGGCTTGAACCCATGAATCATGTGATCATGACCTGAGCTGAAGTCTGACGCTAAACCGACTGAGCCACCCAGGCGCACCTGAGCAAGTTTATTAACCACGCTAAGTCTCAGCTTTCTCAGTTGCAAAATGGTGACAATACCTATTTTACAGTGTTGCCATTAGGGGAAAAAAAAAAAAAAAAAAAATATATATATATATATATATATATATATATAAAATGCCCTCAGCAAAGATGTCTAGATGATGAAGATGACAATGATAATGGTGATCAATTTGTCCTTGACCTCCTCCTCAATAGTAGTTTTCTTCCATTTGTCTCATATATTCTGCACTCCAGCCACATGGTCTTCTCATTGTTCTAAATATTCCGTGGCTGTTCTTGATTCAAGGCTTCTGCACATATTTTTTATTTAGTCTGGAATATCCTTTACTCATTTATTTGCACATGTTTATTGATACAGCTCTGTATCTTACACTGAGAATGTATTCTGAAAACAATTACAGATGAGTGATTTTCCCATTCTCCTTTAATTAATGAATAGAGTAAGAAATAGCAGTAAAACTTCCTTTCGTTGCACCACAGTTGCTTGGCAGGACTGTGATGCCATGGAACATTAAATCTATTGCAGAGAAACAAAATTTATCCAATGGAATGCTTTTAATAAGGTAGTTGTGGGAAGGCAGTTAAAAGCTGCCTATATTAGTCAGAGCTACTCCTTAACTGTTTGTTGATTTCTAATTTATTTCTTTTGTGGTCAGAGAAATACTTTGTATGACTTGGAATTCTTTCAGATTTATTGATACTTGTTTTATGACTTAGAATATGATCTAGCCTGGTAAATCTTCATTGAACACCTGAAAAGAATGTCTTTTTTTTTTTTTTTATTCTGTTCTTGGGTTTTCTATAAATGTCAGTTAGGTTGGATGATAGATTGTTCAAATCTTCTGTATACTTATTAATTTTTTGACCAATTTCTGTCAGTTATTCAGAGAGGGATATTGAAATCTCTGACTGTAATTGTGGATTATATGTTTCTCCTTGCACTTTTATCAGTTTTTTGCTTCATTTTATTCTTTTATTATTCTTTTATTAGGTACATAAACATTTAAGATTGTTATGTTTCATGATGAACATATCCCCTTTTCATTATGAGATAACCCTCTTTACCTTTTTGCTCTGATAGCATTCTTCTTTTGATTTGTGTTATTCTGATTTATGTTTCCATATTTTTACTTTAATCCAATTTGTGTCTTTGTACTGAAAATCCATTTCTTGTAAGCAGCACGTAGTTGAGTCTTGCTTTTTTGTTTAGTATGATATGCTTTGCTTTCTAATTTGTGTTTTAGACCATATACATTTCATGTGATTATTAATATGGATAGGTTTAAGTTTGCCATCTGGCCATTTGCTTTCTATTTGTCCCATCTGTTTTTTGTTTTCATTTTCCTGTTTTCCAGCTTTCTTTTAGAGTTATTCAGTATTTTTTATGATTTCATTTTATCTTTGTTGGCTTATTAGCCATAACTCTTTGTTTTGTTATGTTAGGAGTTGCTTTAGAGTTTATACTATTTAACTTATCATGATCTACTCTCAGGTGATATTATATATTTCACATATAAGAACCATACTTCTTTCAGCCTTTGTGCTAATTGTCATATGCTATATTTTTACATACACTATAAACTTCATATCACATTAGTACTGTTTTTGTTTAAATATTAAATATCTTTTAATGTGATTTAAATGATAAGAAAAATATCATTTTTACCCATGTAGTTACCATTTCTGGTACTCTTGATTAATTTGTGGAGGCCATATTTCTATCTGGTATCAGTTTTCTTCTGCTGGAAGGACTTGCTTTCACATTTCTTTCAATGTGAGTCTACTGGTGATGAATTCCTTCAGTTTTTCTGTGTCTCAAAAACTATTTTTGCCTTTTTGTTTGAAAGTGTATTCTTTTGGCATAAGATTTTAGTTTGACAGGTATTTCCCTCCCTGGTGTTTTAAGAGGTTGCTCCACTGTCTTCTTGCTTCCATTATTTTTCTCATGAGAAATCTGCCTACATTCTTATCTTTGATCCTCTCTTCATCATATCTTTTCTCTCTGGCTGCTATTCAGATTTCCTCTTTTCACTTTTTTAAAGCAATTAGATTATGATGTGCTTTGTATAGTTTTCTTTATTTTGTACTTAGGATTTGTTGAGCTTCATGCATCTGTGAATTTATAGTTTTCATGAAAATTAGAAAAAAAAATTTTAAGAGAGAGAAAGAGAGCATGAATGGGAGAAGGTCAACGGGATAGAGGGAGAGAGAGAATCCCAGGCAATCTCCATGCTCAATCCAGAGCTCAATGTGGGACTCAATCCCACAACCCTGGGATCATGACCTGAGCTGAAATCAAGAGTAGGATACTCAACTGACTGAGCCACCCAGAACCTTGAAAATTAGAAAATTTTTGACTCTTAACTCTTCAAACTTTTTTTTTTTGGTCTTCTATCTTTCTCTTCTTTTCTGGGGACCCCAGTTACACATATGTTTAGGATACTTGAAGTTGCCCCACTGCTCATAGATTATATCGTCCATGTTTCTATTTAACTTTTTGAAGAGACAGAATACAGTACAGTTATAATAATTGTTTTAATATCCTTCTTTTCTAATTCTAACACCTGCATCAGTTTTCAAGTCAGTTTCAGTTGATTTATTTATTTCTTTTTTGTAAATCATATTTTCTTATTTCTCTACATGCCTGGTGATTTTTTATTAGATGGCAAATAAGTCATTTTACTTTTGGGTGCTAGATATTTTTGTATTCCTATAACTCTTCTTGAGCTTAGGCTTGGGACACAGGTAAGAAGATACTTGGATAGTCTGGTCCTTTTGGGTTGTTAGATAGGACTAGAGCAGTGCTCATTCTGGGGCTACTTAGTCTCCATTCCTTAGGCAAGACGCTTTTGCATGCTCTACTCAGCTCCCTTTGAATTATGAGGTGTTCCCGTCTGGCTGGCAAACACAGGCAGTATTGCAGGCAGCATGAATGCTGGGCACTGTTATCTCTAATGGTGGTTCTCTCCCTGGCGTTGGGTAGTTTCCTTACATGAATGTGCTGATAAGTCCTCAGATGAATATTTGAGAGGATTCTTTACAGATGTCCAAGTTCTGTCCCCGTGCTGCCTTCTCCCCTTTGCATGCTGTCTGATGAACTCCAGCTGCTCTGCTTTCTCTGAACTCCCAGTGTCCATATCCCCAACTCAGGGAGTTTGCTGGGCCTCACTTGCGTTCCTCCTCCCTGTGCCATGGCCTGAAAACTCCCTCACGGATGGAACAGTTCTATCACTCACCTCATTTGTTTTGTCTTCAAAGGATTGCTGTCCTTTGTTGTTTGAGATTCAGTGCCTTGCAAACTGTTGTTTCATATATTTTGTCCATGTTGTGTTGTTTCAGGTGTGATGGTAAAGTCTTTTCCTGCTACGGTCTTTGGGCTGGAGGTGGAAGAACTTTAAAATTATTATTCTTAGTAAACTTCTGTGTTTTTTGACACCCATTCATTTAGAATGTGGTATATTTCTCTAAGGGGAGGTCACAGAGAGGGGCACTCAGTACCTAGTGAATTGAAAAAATTTAATGGCCGGATGTCAGCCTGCAGCCTCAGAAACTCAATTTGCCTGTCCATTCTGAATGGATCATCATCTCAGAATCAGGGATACATCAGCCCAGGATTAAAATGTAATGAGGGGTGCTGGGTGGCTCAGGCGTTAAGCGTCTGACTCTTGATTTCGGCTCCGGTCACGATCTCACGGTTTGTGAGGTCAAATTCTGTGTCAGACTCTGTGCTGATAGTGCAGAGCCTGCTTGGGATTCTCTCTCCCTCTCTCTCTGTGCTCCTCCCCTGCTTGCATTGTCTCTCTCTCTTTCAAAATAAATAAACAAACTTAAAAAAATAATAAAATAAAGTGTAATGAGAAGTGTGATTGTCACAGGACTGACATTTATGTTTTGTATACAGTGGAATCTTTTCATAGAGGTAAGCTATACTTGAATTTAACAGTAATGGAATGATTTCTTGGTGTTGAATCCTGATTAAGATCCAAGATAATCTTACTTTTTTGAAAAATTTTTAACTTAAAAAATCCGTTTGGATTTTATACTTTCTTTAGATATTTTAGTACTTAAAGTAGATAAATATCTCAATCATATCTTGATAGCCAGAAATTCATTCGTATCTTTAATGTGAGTTTTCATATTTTATCTTTGATCCATTATTTGTCGGTTATAACCTAACTTTGAGGACACTCTTATTTCCTCTCTGTCCACATGCTTTTGTGCAGCCATCTCACTGTCATTGCCATTTTCAGTATATGTCTGTCAGCCAATACCTTTGCTCTTTTCTGTTTTTTTTAATGTTTTATTTATTTCTAGGAGAGAGAGAGAGAGTATGAACAAGGGAGGGTCAGAGAGAGAGGGAGTCACAGACTGAAACAGGCTCCAGGCTCTGAGCTGGCAGTCAGCACAGAGCCCGATGCGGGGCCCGAACCCACGAACCGCGAGATCATGACCTAAGTGAAAGTCGGACGCTTAACTGACTAAGCCACCCAGGTGCCCCCCCCTTTTTTTTTTCAATTAAAAAGTATTAATTGATTGGGGGCTGAATTCTGAAAAGTATGTTAATTTTAAATTTATTACTAAATTATTTTAGGAAGCATTTTTTGGACATTGACCATGTTCCAGGGATATGGAATTACCTTGGTGTAATTCTTAAGGTATTGAGGATCCTGCCTAGTCAACTGATACAGCTTATTGGCTGCTCTGTATGTGTGTGTGTATCTATCTATCTATACTTTTTAATTGTCTTTATATTAAAACATTATTGGTACATAAATATTGGTTAGGTTTTAGTGCTTATTAAATTTGATTTGCAAAGTAAACACAATATGGAAATTTTTCTTATGGAAATTTTGCCGTAAAGCATATAACTTTGTTATGTGTATTATTATTATTTTTGAACAAATCGTGGTCCTTCCTTTTCTTTCAGAGGATCTTTATACAGCCAGCTCACTTTGTGTAGGGCATTCTCCCACCCAATCTTCTACCTTCCTTTTTTCTGCCTCCAGCTTTATTGAGGTATAATCGACAAATGAAAATTATATAATTTACGATATTTTGATATATGTACATTGTGAAATGATTACCATAATTAAGCAAATTAACATATCTATTCAGCTCACATAGTTTTCTTTTTTATAGTAAGAACATTTAAGAGCTATCTTAACAAATTTCAAGTATATGTACAATACAGTACAGTAACATAACTATAGTCATCAGACTGTACATTAAGTCTCCAGAATTTATTCATTCTGTGTAACTGAAACTTTGTACCCTTTGGCCAGTCAGTACTTTCCCATTTATGTCTTCCCCCAGGCCCTGGCAACCACCATTAGACTCTCTGGTTTTATGAGTTTGTCTTTCAAATGCATATTTTTTAATATTTATTTTATTTTTGAGAGAGAGAGAGAGAGACAGAGACAGAGACAGAGTGCAAGCAGGGGAGGGGCAGAATATGAGAGAGGGAGGCGTGGGATTCAAAGCAGGCTCCGAGCTGTTAGCATAGACCCTGATGTGGGACTTGAACTCATGAACTGTGAGATCATGACCTGAGCCGAAGTCTGCATTTAACCAACTGAGCCACCTATGCACCCCTGAGTTTGTCTTTTTTAGATTACACATGTAAGTGAGATCATGCAGTATTTGTTTTTCTGTGCCTGACTTATTTCACTTAGCATAATGCCTCCCAGATTCATCCATTTTGTCACAAATGGACTTTCTTCTTTTCGAAGACTGAATAATATTCCATTATATTATACACATTATCTAGTATATTATATATAATATCACACACATTCTCTTTATTCATTTGTTTATCAGTGGAAATTTCGGTTCATTCCATATCTTGGCTATTGTCAAAAATGCTGCAATGAACATGGGAATGTTCTCTCTAAATTCCTGTTTTCATTTCCTTTGATTATATGCCTAGAAGTAGAATTGCTGGATTATATACTAGTTCTATTTTTAATTTTTTGAGATATCTCCTTACTGTTTTCCATGGTAGCTGTACCAATTTATATTCCCACCAACAGTGCAAAAGGGTTCCCTTTCTTCTACGTCCATGCCAGCAAACTTGTTATCTATTGTCTTTTTAAGAAAAGCCATTCTAATATGTGTGGGGTGATATCTCATTGTGGTTTTGAGCATTTCCCTGATGATTTAGTGGTGTTGGGCATTTTTTTCATATAATTGTTGGCCATTTGTATATCTTCTTTTGAGAAATCTGTTCAAGTCTTTTGCCTATTTTTAAATCAGGTTGTTTACTTGCTACTAAGTTGTCTAGTTCCTTATATGTTTTTAGGTATTAACCCCTTATTGGATAGATGGTTTGCAAATATTTTCTACCATTCCATAGAATGTCTCTTTGTTAATTGTTTCATTTGCTGTACAGGAACTTTTTAGCTTGATGCAATCTCTTTTGTCTATTTTTGCTTTTGTTGCCTGTGCTTTTGGGGTCATATCCAAAAAATTGTTGCCTAAAACAATTACAAAAAGCTCTTCCTTATATTTTCTTCTAATAGTTTTACAGATTGAGGTCTTATGTTTAAGGCTTTATCCATTTTGAGTTGATTTTTTGTATATGGTGTGAGATAGGGGTCCAATTTCATTCCTTTGCATGTGAATATCAAGTTTTCCCAACATCATTAAAAAAAATATATTTACTTTTGGGAAAGCACAAGTGGGGGGGTAGTAGAGAGAGGGAGACAGAGGATCTGAAGCTGGCCCTGCACTGATGGGTTGACAGGAGTGAGCCCAATGTGAGGCTCAGACTCATGAACCATGAGATCATGACCTGAGCTGAGGTCAAGAGTCAGATGCTCAACCTAGGTGCCCAGGTGCCACCCAGGTGCCCATCACCCTGCAACACCATTTATTAAAGAGACTGGTCTTAGTGTGTGCTCTTGATACTTTTGTTGAAGATCAATTCATTGTAAATGCATTTATTTCTGGGCTCTATTCTGTTGCATTGGTCTAGATTTTTTTTTTTTTATGCCAGCACAGTGCTATTTTGTTAAGTATAGCATTGTAGTGTGTTTCAAAATCAAGGAATTTGATTAATTTGATGCTTTCAGCTTTGTTCTTTTTGTTCAAGATTGCTTTCGCTAGTTGGAGTCCTTTGTGGTTCTGTATGAATTTTAGGACTTTTTTTTTCTATTTTGGTGAAAAATGCCATTGGAATTTTGAAAGGGATTTGAATCTGTAGATCACTTTGGGTAGGATAGTATGGGCATTTTAATAATAGTAATTCTTCTAATTAATGAACATGGCGTATCTTTCCATTTATTTGAGTTTTTCAATTTCTTTTATCAAAATTTTGTAGTTTTTGTTTTACACATTTTACACCTCCTTGGTTAAATTTGTATGAGTCTTTTTTTCCCCTGCCCCACTCCCCATATTTATATGAGTATTTTTGAACCACTGAATAGCTCCTATCATCTGGCAAAAGATGGTTCAAAACCTATTAAAGTGTGTAAAATATCAGAAGTATGGTGATTGCAAAAAAAAATAAAAAGGGAGGACTAACCAGTTTTTATACAGTTTCTTAATTGTATTGATATGAAAATGACTGAAATACTTTGTTTTTAGCAACTAAATTGATTTTAGTTTTTCTTTGTAGGTGGATTGGACTCTAAATATTGGAGAGCAAGCCCTCGATATATGTATTGTCTCTTTCAATCAGTCAGCATCTTCTGTATTTGTTCTTGGTGAAAGAAACTTTTTTTGCCTTAAGGATAATGGACAGATTCGATTCATGAAGAAACTTGATTGTAGCCCAAGTTGTTTCCTCCCATATTGCTCAGGTGTGTAGAAGGATTTTTCTTTTATCTTTTCCATATGTCAAGACTATGTGATACACATCAGAAAAAGCCAAATTCACACACATATATTTTAAACATCTAGGAAAATAGTTTTATACAGAACATGTAATGGAAATTTTAACTTTAGAGTTTGAATAGAAGTTTGATATAAAGCACACATTTGGTTTTGTCAGTCATTTTACTTTGTACAGAATGACTTGGAGAATTGGCCTCAGGTATACATTTATGCTTTCCAAAAAGTGGTTGTTCAGTACATTTCTGAAACAGACTGTTGTAAGCAGAATGTTGCATAGTAATGCCCAATAGAATGACTTATCTGTAGCTAATGCCTGGTAAATCATTAGCTTAAATGTGTTAAATATTAATGAAATTCATACTTTCTAGATAAAACCCAAAAATGTTGGCTACTATCTCCCTATAGTTCTCAAGTCTGTAAAATCATTAAAAATTTTTGATATTGGTGCTTGAAGTTGAAAAATAATATCTTACTACTTAAATACTTTATTATTTTATACATTAACATCAAGACATTAGAATTAATTTGTATCTAAATCCCTTAAAATATATACTGTTGCAGATAACTGTTTTATTTTCCATTTTTCTGTCTTCAACATACAGTTTCTGAAGGAACAATAAATACTTTGATTGGAAACCATAATCAGATGTTGCATATTTATCAGGATGTGACACTGAAGTGGGCCACTCAACTTCCCCACATTCCTGTGGCAGTAAGAGTGGGCTGTTTACAGTAAGTGATTTTACTTTTTTTTTGGATCTTACACAAGGAAGTTTTGTGAAATAGTAGCAAGTGATTTTACTAAGGAATGACAACTGACATTGTAGTGTGAATGTCAACAATAGAAATAATTTAAAATATAACTTCTATTGGAAAAGGATATAAAAAAGTCTTAGCACCATCAATCATTTTTATGTTATTTTAATTCCCACATAGTTAACACACAGTTATATTAGTATCAGGGGTACTATATAGTGATTCAACAATTCCATACATCACCCAGTGCTCATTATGACAATTGTACCCCTTAATCCCCTCAATCATTTTTATTTAGTATCTCTAGGAGGATATCATTTGTAAACTAAAGATTTAAAGAAAATGGTTTACCTGATAGATTGTTTCTTTAAAATTGAAGATTTTAAAAGGATTTCTTCAAGCATTTGATGGGTCCCATTTAGAGAGCACTTCTTGTTAGACTGAAAATATTACACATTGAAACTTGTTTCAGACCTTATGCTGTCAAGTGGTGCAGAATTGCTGGTGATTGTGTTTTAAGAGAGTTTAGATTTTAAATAGGGCCAATATGCATTTAAAATGAAGGATAAAACACATGTCCTAAATTTACAAAATTTATCAAAAAGGAGAGAAATGAGATCTAAGTGTGTAATTTTTCTAGGTTGTCCATATAGAAGGCAAGATCCTGACAAACCTTTAGCATCTCAGATTATGTTTAGGAATTGAAAATCTCAGTAAATATGTAGAAACACAACTTTATTTTTATTTTAAAATATCTTTACACCCAATGTGGGGCTTGAACTCACAACCCTGAGACCAAGAGTCATGTGGTCCACTGACTGAGCCAGCCAGGTGGCTCTAGAAACACAACTTTCTGTAAAGCTTTATAGATTCCCTAGATCTATTCAGCTCTGCTTATTTAGATCATTTGATTGAACATTTAAAAACCATATGTAGAATTCTTCAGTGGCACCTATTGTATCTGATCAGGATGACTAATTCCCACAAATTAAGACACTGGATGTGTAATATTGTTGAAGCTCAATGAATGGTATTCATATTTGCATTAATGGTTAATCTAAAGCCTGAATATTGGGAAAATGGAAACATTGTTTGAAAACATCACATATTTTAAAAAGAAGTTGCCTTCTCATGTTTTATGAGAAAAGACCATCATACTTAACACAAATTATGGTTATTTTGTGCCTGAAGAAAAGTTTAAAATTTGAGATTGGGTTTTACAACGTCTACCAGATAGTCTTTTAAGTTCAACCCAACACTTAGACTCACCAGACATTTTAAATCAGATTTACTTAGAAGGATTTAGAACAGGAAAAACATTTTGCCAGCAGCGCAACGTCAAGTATTTCTCTTCTGGGAGAGTCATTCTTGCAGCAGTTCATATATCCATCCAAGATCTGTTCTCTTTGGCCTCCCAAGTGACAGCTCAGGTGCAAGAAGACAGATCTACACTAGTGGGTATGTGGCCTGTCTTGGCTTATAGTCCCCATGCCCCTCAGTTTTAAATACTGAGAAGTCATTGTGGTTTTGTATGTATGTGGGGCATAGGAGAGTGATGGATAGAAAGACCTATTGAGACTATTTGGTTGAAATACTTATTTTACACATATATTATGTACATGGGACATGCCTATTTCAAGAGTTCCTATACTCAGAAGCTCAAAGATAAAGTTTCTCAGCAGATATTTATGGTTAATTTATAGTTCAAATGTCCAGATGCATCTTTTATTAGTCAAGGATCCAGAAATAACTGAAATTATTAGTAGTAAAAAATGAAATTTCAATAGTGTGCATCAAGATGCTTATATTCAGAGGTAGTCTGTCACATCTAAACTTAGGTATTTGTAAGTGAAACTTCCTCTTTCTCATAGCTTTTTCAAGCTATCATAATTATGAACAATTAAATTAAAATATTTCTGTTAATGATTTCCACAGTTAGTTAATATATAGCAGTAACTTTTATTTATTCATTGGAAGATTTGTCTTATTTTTATCTACTTTAGCATTATAGAATTAGACTGTTTGAAAAAATTCATTGTAATTTTTATTAGAACTTTAAAAGTGATTTTTACTGACTTAGCTATAGCGTATTTATGTTTAGAAGTTATAATTTGAAATTAGAAGCAGTGAAATAATTTTGCTTCTGCTTTTTATTTCCTTTAGAGTTAAACTTTTTTTTGGTGGAAGCTTCCTTGGCTGAGTTTGTTTATTTGTAGAGGAAATTGCTGCTATTTTAATGTTTCTTTTCAATGAATAAGAAATACTGGATTTGAATCAAGTTGATGCAATTATACTTAATAACAGCATTTTGCTCAGAAACTAAGATGCTTTATTTCCTCCCACTACTTGGCAGCCCAAGTCCTCTCTACCTTGTTTATTATAAACCGATTCTGAATCTGTGTTTCCTTCTTTTGACAGCATTCTTGATTAGAGATAGTTCTTTTAGTTTAATTATTTTAATTTTTGTGGATTAGACTATAGGAATGTGAAAGAATATAGTGACATGCATGCATGTGATAATTAATGTTCTTTAAATTCTTCACTATTAACTGTTTTCCTCTCATTGCACGAAGTGACTGTGGAAGCCTGGCCAGTATCTTACCTCTGCTGTGGTCAGTCTCCCAAACGGCAAATAAAGATAATCATTTATTGGTAATGTTATTCTCTCTAGAGATATGAAACATACCTCAAAGTGGAAGTCTATTTGAATGAATGTTCAAAGTGATGAGAACCTTTCCAGACTTTAGCTGGCAACCACAGCCATTGTGCCTTGAAATCTTATTGCAGTTCATTTTTTAGCATAAACAGTTTGGTCTAGTATTTGAGTGTTTTTCTTCCTAGGCTGTATCTACTATAGTAACTTGTTGTAACTGTCAGTATGTAACTGTTTCATTCTTTAACCTTCATCCTTGTAGTATTCCTAGCCAGAATGTTTTCCCCATTTCTTCTCTGTATTTTCCAATCTCTTTTATCTTTGAGTCCTACCTGAAGTCATATAAAGAAGTTTTCCCTCCCTACTTTGGTCTCTTCTTTCTCTGAATTTCTATATATTAAATTATATTGGTGACTGCTGTTTGATTCTCTTAATTCCTCAACTCCCTCATACACTTTAATGTTAGGGACCCTTTCTGCTTTTGTATATCACACTGAATCATCAGCCTAAAAGCTGAATATATAGTATATGCTTGGTAAACATTGTAAAAACATTGTGATTTGTGCATGTCAGGGGGAGGAATGGCTAAAAAGACCTTATAAGAGCTTTCAGTTGAATTTCCTTTTTTAAAAAATATGAAACAATTGAGAGTCCTAGATGAAGGATATTATTTCTTTGAAAACAGATTTATTGGGAGAGTTTTTAAATTTCAGAGTGACTTTTTTTTTTAGGTTTAACTTTTCCTTTTACGTTGTCATTTCTTTTTTTGTGTATTTTGTAGAAAAGGAACATGGACTGATATATACACTTTTTACTGTTATATTTTTAGGGATTTCCTTATTAGTACACATAAAATTTGTAAATATTCCTGGAATTAGGGTAGAGCATAAATTATGATTTTAGAGCTTCTGCATTCCTTTTGATATTTTCCCCTATTAATCTATTGCAGCTCAGGAGTGGAATGTTAGTGTTTCATTACCATATTTTTGTGTCATTTTTTAAATTGAATACCTAAGCATTTTGACTTATATATGCTAGTTCTATAATTTGCCTTGTGTTTATGATATTTTACATTTTTTGGTGAGTTAAAAAATTTATCAATATAAAATGACTTTCTTTGTGTTCCCAATATTTCTTTGTTTTTGTTTTGTTTTATTTAGTTTGAGTATAATTGGCTATTCATTAATGGTATGCCATGGTCTGGTGCTTTCTTTAATCTGTAATTTTATCTTGAATGTATGTCGTATAAACAGAATTTCATTAGATTTTTTTAACCCATTTTGAAGACCATCGCCCTTTAATTGACCCATTTATAATTGTTATAATACATATACTTGGTCAAGTTTTCTTTTATGGTAGGTTGTGCTTTTAATAGTATTTCCTTTGCTCTCCATCTCTGTGTGAGTTGTTCTCTGTACTTGGATTTCCCATGTTTTGGGTAGTATATACACATACATATCTCTTTTCTTTATTTCTTTTAGTGTTGACTTTTCAGTTTTACCATAATCCAAAAACAAAATGACTCTTTCTGCCTGTGATAGGCAGGAGGTTTGCAGGTTCTTCCTCCTTTCCCATTTTCCCACTGCCTGTACCACCTCCACACATGGGCCTGGGTGTCCGTGTCAGCTTGTTGTCACACATATAGCTAGCTCTGCACACCCACACACGCTTTGCTACTCTTGGTTCTTTGCTACAGTAACATAAGTTTTTAGCTATAAATTTTTTTTCTTAAATAGTTTATTGTCAAGTTGGTTTCCATATATCACCCAGTGCTCATCCCCACAAGTGCCCTCCTCCATGCCCATCACCCCCCTCCCCTTACCCCCACCTCCATCAGCCCTCAGTTTGTTCTCAGCATTCAAGAGTCTCTCATGGTTTGTCTCCCTCCCTCTCCCCCACTATTTCCCCCCTTCTTCTCCCCCATGGTCCTCTGTTAAGTTCCTCGTAATACTCCTATGCGTGCAAACATATGGTATCTGTCCTTCTCTGCTGACTTATTTCGCTCCAGCTGTAAATTATTATTGTTGAACTATTTTAGTGCTTTTTTGGAGAATGTTTTAAAATTTGTGTTCACTTTTTATCTAGACCTATACTAATTAAAATTTTTTTCTATATCACAGGTTGTCTTTTGATCGCAAATTGCAGTTTTTTAATTTATTAATTTCACTTCATCTCTTAATAGGCTAATTTAATATTAAATCAATGGTATAGGGTGTTACTATTGTATGGTAAAAGTGTGTTGTCACATTTCCCCCTCAAACTTTATTGATGTTGCTCCTTTCTTTTTTTAAAAAGAACTTTTGTGGAAAAAAATAATCATGTG